ATTTTTTATTTCATTTCTCATTCTCTCTAGAAACATGATGTTATTACCACTTAAATACTCTAATGCTATTGCAGATCCTAATGTTGATGTTGTGTAATTAAATCTACTTTTATCGCTATTAACAATATGTTCTTCTAAAATTGAAATAAAATTGTTTTTAACATCTTGATCTAATTTAGTCCATGCTGCTTGGTATGCATTTTTATAATTCTCAACCTTTGGATTTAAAACATTCTTCAATATGATTGAGCCAATGTTCCTTATTTCTTGTAGTATTGATTCATTAAAAATTATTTTGGGTAACCATCTAATAAACTCACTGAACTGATTTTGTATAAAATTATTTAGTTCCATTTCTGCTTTATTTCTTACATCTGTGTCTGCAGATAAGACATCTGCTAATATTTTTGTAATAATTTCTTCCTCTCTTTGTTGCATCTTTATTTGTTTAAAAATTATATAAAAATAAGTTTTAAATATTTTTAGATAAATACACAATTGATTCATAATAAACACATTTTAAAGCTTAAATTATTTATAAAAACACTTATGATATAAGAAAATAAAATTTGTTTTAATTAAATTTGTTTCTTTTAAGAAACAAATTGTGAAATTAATATACAAAATTATTTATCTATAAATATTAAAATATTTATAGTCATACAAATCAATAATAAAAACCATATGCTTTCATAAAAGAACAGAGAAGATTCAATATTTGACAGTTATTATTTGAAATTTGTATTATTTAATCTTGAAAGAAACGATTTAAAATAAACTAATTTTGTTTTGGCAATGAAAAAAATTCCATTAAATAACGAATTGAATAAAAAGAGAGAATACTTTGTATCATTGCTTAAGAAGAAAGAATATGACACCCTAATTCAAGAAATGAACAAAATTGGAAAAAAATACATGATACAATGCACTAAGTACGATCGTTTTAGAGATATAACCCCATACGACACAAACGTTTCTTGTTACTATAAAGTGCCTTACATAAATGCAAGTTTTGTAGACAGATTTATAGTTTGTCAAGACCCTAAAGTAGAGTACTTTGATGTTTTTTATCAATTCATAGCAGCTTCAGAAATCAAGTTAATTGTTTCACTGACACATGATTCAAAATTCTTTCCAGAATATACTATAGAATTTGAAGATCAAAATTTTAGAGTAGAAAAGATTACTTTTAATTGTAGAATAATTACCAGAATTGTTTGTAAGGTATGGAAAGATCACAGTGTGGTCGATTGGAATGTTTTAGATGAGCTTTATCATAAAATTATTGGGCGCAAATCTTTTAATCACAGGTATGAAATTTTAGTGCATTGTAAGGCGGGAGTTGGTAGAACAGGATGTTTAATTGGATATATTTTACTGAAAAAATTGAAAAATAAGACAATAAAAATTAATAAATCAGTTTTTATTGATTTATTAATTTATCTAAGAAGTTGTAGAAATTATTTCATACAGACGGCTGAATAGCTAAAATTCATTTGTGATATATTCTTAGAATAAAATAAGACCAAATTTTATTTATAAACAAATCAATGTTTTCATTGTTTTTTGATAGACGCTGATTTTTTAAACCAAATGACTGAAGACAGAAAAATAGCTTTTGAAAACATTAGACTTGTGTTGTTAAAATATGCCAAAAGACTTGATTTTAGAGAGATGATCAAACTTTTGAATGACACAGGAAGTCATTTTTGCATTCCACCAACCGACTATGACAGATTTGAAAAAGTAACTCCTTACAGTAGAGAAGTTTCTCTTAGATATAAAACTAACTATGTTAATGCTAGTTTTGTTGACAGATTTATAACCTGTCAGAATCCAAAAGAAGATCATTTTGAGACTTTTTATTCTTTTATTTCCAAATCAGAAATATCATTAATTATAGCATTAGAGTATAACATATCATATTTGAATGATTATGAAATATTAATTGAAAATAAGATATTTAGAGTTGATCCCATTGATCTGAGAGGAAGGAAAATAAAAAGGGTTGTTTGCAAGGTATGGAAAGACTTGAATATTATGGAGTATGATGATTTAATGATTTTTTACAATTATTTAATACAACATGATGAACTAAAGCAGAATTATAAAACATTAATTCATTGTCAAGCCGGCGTTGGAAGAACAGGAACATTTATATTTTTCATTTTACTCAGTGAAATGATGAGTAAAGGCTCGCAAATAACACCAGATCTATTTATTCACATTATAATTAGATTAAGAATGCAAAGAAACTTTTTAGTTGAAACCGTGGGTCAAATGGGATTCTTATATAGTTATTTTACTGATTAAATTTTAAACACAAATTTAAAAATACTTAAATTTTTTGATTTTATTAAGATAAAAGAATCAACTTTAGTTGTATAATTTATTTATGAAAGTAGAATAGAAAGATAAATAAAGAAATTAAAAATAAAAATTTTTTCAAAAAATTTTACAAAAAAAATTAAAAATTCAGACAGTTTTCAAAACATATATATGAGTAGTAATTTATTACTATTTAAATGTTAATATGT